ATTGAAGGGTCGTCGTACCATCCAATCTCTGTGACAGGCTTCAAAATTATTCACTGAAAAACATAGGTATATTTTGACAAACGGATAGGATTTGACCTCAGTTCAAAAAGAAATCAAAGTTAAACTGTAAATAGCTCCAGTGTGATCAGAGCATGTATTATAAAGGTATAGGCTTTGCCTAATAAGTGAATGTAATTGCATGTAGGTCAATCCATCAATAAAATTGATCAAGATGTCCGAGAATCTATGACATACTATATATGGAAACACATGATTTTGATGTGGTCATTTTGAAAAACATGCAAGGACACTATACTTGTAAACAAAGGGCACTAATGAGGCACTCTATGAATGAGGTATTTCTAGAGGTCGGGGTTTGTCTCGTCTGCAGTTGAATAATTTTTGCTTTGATTTTCTTATGGGTTTTTTTCCCAATGCGACTTAATTTCACTTGTTTTTTTTTAATTCTTGGTAATTAGTGTCATTAGCGATGGAGTAATAAAAAACGCAATTAACCTCAGTGCAGCAAATCGGGATAGATCTTCCTGACGCAATGGGCAAATTTCGCTATTTTCGCTGACAAGTAAAATCTGCTAAATTAAACCTACGTGAACATGTAAAGTAACAACAGACTGTTTCCTTGACAGATTCTTGAAATTAAATCATCAAAATAGTACAACTAAAAAGTCTGTACAACATACCTAGAACAGATAAATAAAAACATCGTAGTTTAATGTTCGTTCGGACTTTGAGCCCTTGAAAGTAAATGATCCAGCCCTTACATATGCCAACGATTGAAATTTGTTTAATTGCTATCAAATTATCGCCCCCCAAAAAAATGTTTCATTTGTGAGACGTGCTTTTGATACAAACCGAAGATCGCGATCGACCCTACACAAAACTACCGCCATTTTGTCTTCCTTGTTCTCGTTCGGCAAAAACAAAAAACTCGCATATTTACTATTTGTTTAATGAGTGCATTTTTGTTTAAAAATATCAAACAAGAATAAACACTAAGTAAAATAGGAATCAACTGCTTCGTTTTATTTGAGTAAGATGGAAACCATACGAAAACAAATGTGAAACATTACTGTCTGCTCGAGGAGAAGACACTGGGAGTCGTGTGCAAAGAGATTGTTTACAAATTAGATAACATTGGAAGTGCTTTCAGTCACGTTGTGTAGCTCCAATGCGTAAAATAGAAAATTTATATCTTGAATAAAACTGACAAACTTCCTTGCTGTTGCTGTCGGGTGTCTGCCTTATACATGGATTAAGTGTAGACGCAGGGATTCAGCTTTCCTTTTCTCTGCTCGTGGCGTCGCAATAGCGGTGAAGGTCAGTACTGGGTTGAACCGACAGCCATGGCCACTATATTTTGAATGATCATAAATAATTTTTGAACCCAATAGTAGTGATCACTGTGATTATTATATAAATTTCTTGCAAAGTCTGGAACGATACTGAAAAAAAATCGTTGATTTCCTTCTATATTCATGCTTGAAAGTAGGCCGAAGTATCCGCAGGTGAATACGAGTATCCAGATAATAAGTTAGGATCGATCAGTTCACACGAATTGTTCTGTTCTGATTCATCATTGCAAAACAATGGTCTGGAAACAGCCCAGCTTGAAGGAAACAGTATCGTGGAAAGAAAGAACAGTCAGTATCGGACCCGATACCCTTTAAAAGACCTGATGAGAACACTGCAGAATCGCTGGCGAAACGAAAGTTACATGGCTATTGTCTAAGCGACGCAGGCCCGAGGAGAACACTGTACATGTAACCAGCACATTTACGAATTTCAAGGGAGCTAAAAATCGCTATTTTTAGAAAAATTTGTTTGACCATTTTTAAAACTCGTATTTTTGAAATAACAATGATAA